AATACCAATCTGTTCAAAATATTACATTTCATTTAAAATTAGTCAATTACTTACACATCAAAGTTTAGTATAAAAAAAAATCAATTTGGCAAAATTACTTTTCATCATACGCATACATCCTACAATTGTATATTGAAGTGATATGTATGAATATAAAACGTTATGCATATATTCAAACTAACGTTCTAAAAATACTATATTGTCGAAATTTTAAGTTTTTTGTATGAAGATAACATACAAAAATATCTCATTTCTTATTTATCAATAGATGTATGTAAATATTCTTATCAAACTTTCAGGTCTATAAGGGATTTGAATCTGCATATCTTGTTCTTAGTTAAAACATAATTTTCTCATAATTATTAGATCAAACACTTGTAATAAACTTTCAAAAAAAGAAAAGGTAAAGTTAACCCTAGTGAAGGTAGTTATCAAATGAGTGTACACGCAAGAAATCATGAGCGCTCGCGAGTCTTGAGTATTCACTAGTGGCTCTTGTGCTGACATTTAAGAATGACAAAAAAGTACTCGCCGCGTAAGACTGAGTGTTTTTTGAGTACATTCATATAATTTTAGTGTACTTTATTGGCTTATTTAATATTCTCATAATTCTATATTGCGGTATTATATTCGTTTTATTTAGATTTAAAATTAAATTAAAAAGAAAAATATAGATGTACATAATAAAAATTTGAGAAAGAATAATTATCGGAACTATAGTTATCATTTAATATTACGCCTCTTTTTTTTTTAATGAATAATACAGCTAGAGAAATTTTCATTATTAGAGAAGGAAATGAAATATTTCTTCATTTTTAAAATACCAAAATAAAGAAATATCTAACATTCTTCATAGACAATGAAGATATTTATTTATAAATTATCTTCTAGTGCTAATTCCTTATCTTAACATATTCGTAATTGTCAACAAAGAAAAGATAGTTTTCAATGTTCAAATAAGTATCAATCAATGTTATGCATTTTAAAAAAATGAACTAGCTATGCCAGATCGAGTTAAATAAGCTATCTAAGTTTCTTGTATTGAATTTACATTGAATGACTGTCGATTATTCAAAGCACTTATTGATATCAATTTTTAAAATCTTACAAAACAAATAATTAATGCAGGTCAATATTTATCTGTAGGAAATTGCAGATTCACATTTTTATGCATCGAAGCTCTAGTATGGAAAGATCTGTAGATCTTTATTTGACATGTATCATGAAAACTTTAGTATTGTAACAATTAAATTTAAAAATAATATCTACTAGACTAATGCTTTGAAAATATCCGTTTTAATATAAGTATGTTATTTATAGACATGAAAAAGAAATTAGGATATACAAAAATTGAAAATAAATTTTATAAATTTAAGATCGTCTTAGTAAATTTCTCATTATTATCATTTACTTATTGTAGATAAGTTTTTTTTAAGGACATTTTTTTTAATAAATTTTCTGTCTTTAGTTTATTGACATATAGAAACTAATAAAAATGACATCATGTTTATTAATTAGGATTTATTTTCCAAAAATAAATTGTTCAGGATTTTTTTCTATTCTAAAGAGCAAAAGCAGATGATAATAAATCAAGTAAGCTTCATTCTAGGTTAAAACGATGTCATACAAATAGAATTAGTTGTTTCATTAAGTAATAATCATGCTTTCGAATCTTAATATGATACTTTCATTGATGAACAAAAGATAAATATATTACTTCAATACACTTATTATATAATTTGTTTGATAGATAAATAGTGTTGAATTCTTCGATTATTTACTACTCGAATTCAAAAATGAAAGACTAGTGTGTCTATTTTTTGTTTATTATAGGTTTTTTTTCCTTAGCATACTATAATATCTAATCTACATGTAATCTTTAATTATAAACGAAAGAATAGAAGGAAGAAAGAGGATAGAATTGACATAATAATATATTCAGAGAATATCTAGTAATATTAATGAGTATCGAGGACAAAATAAAGAATGCTTTTCCTTTATAGCATTACTTTTGTTGAATATTTTTTGAATGTAAATGCGTATTTCAATTTGACATGCAAAATTTAGTCGATGAATTTGAAGTGTGTACATTAATTGAAAGTTATCTTAGAAAAATACTTATAATCGGAATAAAAAATTTTAATTTGTTCTCTGAATTGTTTAAATTTTATTGGCATCAAAAAAAAAAAATTCTTTACTTCATCAATTTAATAATTGAAAAGAGCAAAAACAAATAGTGCATACAGAACATTGATGAAAAAATGAAAATATTCAATGGAAGAAGATAATTAAGATAATGCTAGATTGCGAGTTAATCTGAATAATAGTCGTTTTCAAAGGTGATAATCATAGAAATTAGTAGTTATTATAATTGAAGTACAACTTAATGAATAGTAAATAAACATGTCTAATTTTTGTTGACAACTATTTATTAGTATTATTTTAGTAATTTTTTATTTCGAAATAAAGCAAAGTTTTTGAGAGTATACAGACAAAAGGATTTTTAGCATTACTCATTTTTCTAATAGTAGTGTGTTCGTTCTTAATTCTTGTGAGAATAACGAACAAAAAAACAAACGTCCCCACAGGATACTAATTACAAAACACTATTCCAATCCCAACTGAATTCTAAACACATATGCTATAAACATGTTTCTATCTATATTTTTATATAGATAATCAATGAACAAAACTAGAAAAATGATCTTCTTTGATTTTTATCAAGAATTTAAACATTTTTTTGTTTATCTCATTAGTCAATCTGGTATTTTTTTTTGTACACGATCAAAATGAGAAATATATAATTCTTCTATTTAATGGCTTATCGATGATAAATTTTCAAAAAAAAGCAGTATTTCCATTAGAAAATATCTTTTCTGGCATTATCTATAATAGTTTCATTGAAAAATTTTGAAACAAGGATTCAAACAAAAATACTCTTTTTATTTATTCAATGGTAAATATTTATACCGGAAACAATAATGTGTAAGATTAATCATAAATCTTTCGAATATGTTATATTTGTTTGTAGAAAATCTTCAATTTATTCATCAGTACACGATGTTTCAAAAGTCTTGAAACACGACATAATTAGTTTATAAGCAGACAGAAAATAATCCTTAACTAGGTTTTTATATAAGAACATTGAGTAATCGTGTCAAAGTCTTTCAAATGACATATTATCGGATTAGATTTTTTTTTATTCTTATAATAATCAAAAAAGACTACAAATATAAGACTATAAGAATACATTTTTTTCACTGATCAACATGATATTTTATTAAAAACAAAGAAACCCAAAATCCTATCAAGTTATTTTTTTCATTTCTTGTTTAATCTAGTTTAAAGTTTCAAAATTTTTTTACTTTATTCCTTTTCTATTTTAATATTCTTCATACAGTGTCAATGGGTCATAATATCAACAAATGTAGCTTCATCTTCTTGAAATACAACTCTATTATTAAATAATTCATTAATAGCTCATAATACAATCTGTTTTTTTTGTTTTTGTATTTTGCACGTGACATTTTCCAAGCATTGTATCCATCTTAACTCTGTTAATGTTTCAAAGAATTATGATAAGTATCGAAAAAAATGAAGAAGATGAATAATTATTGGTTTCTACTACGCTATTTTTCTATGTAAAATACATTCACAACTTTATTAAAAAGTCACATTAATCTACTGCAAAAATAATTTTTTTTAAATTCTCATGTTTCTATTGTTCTTTTTACATTAGGAAGATTTTATCCAATAAAATTTCTTTCACATAATTGACATGAGAACTTAAGACCAATGATATAAGACCGTATTGTTAGGAATTATTGTCTATTTATATATGAATTGAGTTTGGCACGCTTCAAAACTTATGCAACATCCTGCACTCAGAATTATTTCCATTGACCGTATTTAAAATGTGTTTTCTTTTTCTTTTGTATGCTTCAATAAACTCTAACGCTAATTTTTAATCTTTTCTTTTCTAGTCATGTAGAAATCGAAAGCTTGTCGTAGTTTTGAATATTTTTCAATCTTTTAATTGTTACATCTTTAGAAGCAAAAAATGATTATATCAATTTCCTGTTTCATATTCGTATATAATGCACTAAAAATATAGACAAAAAAAAAACACATATTGATTCAAACAATAACATATATATTTTCTATTTAGAAAAGCTCGCAATATACATATATATATATATGAAACAATTAAAGCATTGCCATTCATTAAGATGTGAGTAGATGTAGACATTTGTTTTATGCACGACCTCGTATATTATTGTAAGATAAAATGAGAAACATTTTTTTTTGTTCTAGTACTCATATGAACTTAGAAGAAATATCCTTGAGTTTTTTATATTCATCAAATCTTCATGAGAAGAATCGCATTTATTCTATAGTATATTTGAATGAGAAAATTAATTTTCTTAAATTAAAAAATTTTTTATAGGTTTCAAAGCTTATATCATAAGAAAAGTTATTAGTTGTTATGTGTGTGTGCGTTTTTTTTTATAAATAAACATCATTGTTTTTGTATGTGAAAAAGAAAAAAACAAGAATGAATTTGTCTTAATTCAATTATGTTTTTACGAACAATAGAGAAAAGAAAATTCTAATTGATCAGTATTAGTTTATGTAAATATTTCTATGTTAGTTTTCATAAGTGAAGATTGTAATGTACTGACTTTCTATTATTAACCAACTCATTCATATTATATCATCATGAATTACTCTTTTTTTGCACTCATTCTCATTTTTCATAACAACTAAACTCGATAGTTTTTTTGACTGCTTTTTGGTATTATTCGCTAGATTAAACATGAGAGAAAAATAGAAATCATCGAAGAGAAATGTCTACTTATGAATATAATTTCTATAATCTACTTTTTCTCTGTTTACCTATTGAAATATAAAAGGAAATGAAAAAAAGAAAACGTAGATTTACGCATATATATATATATATGTTTATTCTATTTCATTTACAAAAAAAAAGAATATTAACAATGTCATTCAATTATTCTTCAATTATTAATGAACAACTTTCTCGTGATGATCCTTTATTTTGGAGTCGTCCAACACCAGTTGATTGTAATACAATTCGAATAGTGGGCATATTTTTATGTATGGCTGCATTTATTGGTATTGTTTTTAATGGAGCTCTATTTTACAATTTTATACGATATAAAATTCTTCGTTCACCACCAAATATATTTGTTATGTTTATTGCTGGAATGGGTCTTATTGCTTCATGTACAATTCTTCCATTGACAGGTACATCTTCAGTTTATTGTCAATGGTTATATAAACGTGCAGGTTGTCAATTAAGTGCTATGATTGCATTTTTATATGGATGTTCAAGTTCATATTTACTTTGTGGAGCAAGTCTTAGTCGATGTTATATTATTATTCGACCATTTCAAGCTAAATATATAACTGTAAGTAAATTATAGTTGTTTGAAAACAGACATTTATAAAAAAAAATAACCTTAATGGTACAATAATTCTAGGTAAACAGATGTATCGTCATTTCATGTATTGCAATATTGATTGCTTTCATTTGGACTATGTTACCGGTAATGGGATGGAATGAATATACAATGGAAGTTAGTATTGATTATTTTATTATTCTAACGAATTTATTTGACAATGAATGTGAAATACAATAACGGACTGTATTTTGTTTTTTTTTTAGGGTGCTCGTACTTCTTGTTGTATTAATTGGTACGATCGGCGTACTTCCTATGTTGCATTTCTTTTTTTTCTGTTCTTTGTTGTCTATTGTATTCCACTTATAATACTTATTACTGTCAATACAATTACTATGCTAGGACTTAAACGAATGCGTGAAAAAATTGAACATGGTATTCAAACAGTATTCAATCGAAAACGAATTGAAATGGAACGACGCATTCTTAAAAGTAAGTATTTATTATTATTATTTATTTATGAAAATAGTATTCCTTTTATACGAAATTTTTATTATATTGTAAATATTATTTTTTTTTTGACGTAGGTATTATAATAACAACTAGTGGTTTTATTTTTACATGGACTCCTTATGCAGTGACACTTTTTGTGTCAGCATTTCGAGGTAAAGATTATGCTATATCACCAATGGCTACTTTCTTTTGTGCATGTTTTGCTAAAACATCAGTTATATGGATTCCAATGTTTTATGTTGCTACATCGACTCATTTTCAATTGAGTTTTATCAATCGAGATATATTAGATCAATCGACACGAATTACACGAATAGATAGAACATTAGTTAAGGCACCTATATTATTATCTCAGAAAAATGATGCAATGATGATGAAATCTGTTATTGAGAACAATCATGACGCATAACTAACCATTAATAAAAGTAATTTATATATGTTCTTATTTGTTGAGTATTTTTTTGTATCTGTATTTATTTGTTATAAGTGAACATTAATGTGCTTCAATTGTTTTTTTCGTGATTTTTCCAACACACATTATGAAATATATATCAATTCAGCGAGAATAATAGGAATATCTTCTTAAAAGATTTCAAAGAAATTTAAAATGCATGTCTTTTATTATTCATGAAATATCTTCAAAACGATCATATGAAATTAATAAATATCAATAAGCACAACAAAATGTAATCAAAAAAAAAATAATGAAAGATAACTGATTAAAATATATCTTGATCGATATTTTGATACAAGTTTAGCTGAATAATTTAAAAATCTCATGCTTATGACTTTATTTCTTTGAGAAGTTGATGTATATCATAATTTCTAATGAGTCCACCGATATTATAGCATCCGCTACTTGAGCTAAACATAAACAAGATATTAAAGAATACGAGACAATTAGTTGATTATATTCATCGACGTGAATCATGTGATGTTTTTGTACTATCTGTAATCTTTAATTTAAATTCCATTTATAGTGTTTTGTGAAGATTTAGTGCATGAATATGATCTGCATATTTCTATAATAACATCAGATGGTTTAAGATTTATTGGCATGTCAGTAACAAAAGCATATAATTAATATGATATAATAATAATAATAGAGCCATTTCATTCAACAAACTTATTTGTTTCTGTAAAGATGATTGACTTAGCTATGGAGAAATATACTATAGTAGGTCATCAATATCATAAAAAGTTGTATGCTTGTGTGCAGCACTTTTGAGTTGAACTAAATGATCGTATAATAATTTCATTTTTTTCGAAATTTATTAATTTAAGCATCAACTGCTGTGTCACCTAGTCGAGTAAATGAGAACGAAAATAATTAACTACAAGAATTTATCATTTTCAAATTTCCATCAATACGATTATATACATATGTAGTTATTAGTATTTTGTTTAGTGAATCAACAACATTGATGCCGGCAGCCACTAAATAATAAAGTAGAAAATAACATTACACAACACATACCGTAAGAATTTAGAATATGAAAAATTTAATATCATTCTCTAGGTCAATTGTTCATCAAAATATCTTCAAGCATCTTTTTGAAAAATTTCTCATTGAATTTTATCAGCGATCCCTTGAGAATTTGCTCAAGACTTTTTGCAAACCTATGCTGATAATTACAACTGTTGTATATGATATTATTTATCGTCGTATTTATATGTGCTTCTTGCTAATGAAAGAAGTAGCAATTTTCTTCTTCCTCTCCTCGTATGAATAGAAGTGTTTAATTAATATTTAGCAAATTAATGCTGATACTCAGGTTTATGCACTCTCTCATCAACTCTTCAGGAAATCTTCAGAGACTCCCTAGAAAATTTTTGTATTTATTTATACTCTCTGAAAATCAAAAAGTATCATGAAATTACTCAAGAAGATATTCAGAAGTCTCTAGAAATGTCGCATTTTATTAAGGACCTTCCAACACATTAGTTTAGTGATTTGATGAGGATTCACCTGGAAATATCTTTTTCTCAAGGTTCTTACCAATAATTCTACAAGTGAAATTATTATTAAGTGAACATATCAGGTTCAAGTGATGGAAACTATGTTGATTTATGCATAGGAGTTTTGTTCGGTCTATCCTTTAATTAAATCCTAGTGCAACTCACTATGATTCTTTGTTTTTGTTTTTCTTTGAAAAAAAAACAGGTTTTCACAGAAAATAGTCATTAGTGTTAGTCAATTTTGATTACTTAAAGCAACTATTCTGTATCTCGTTGAGTTGCTTAAGCAATTACTTGAACCGTTAAAAATGTTTGTCAATAACACTTTTCATATTCAGAAATCTGAGTACATCAAAAGCATTTTAATGATGTAATCAGAGTTTACTTCACAAATTATTCATATTAATTGTTGTCTAACACCAGAAGATTTGTCTATTGACTACAGATTTTTGAGTATAAACGGTGTAAGTTTTGAATTTTATCGTTGCATATTCTTCTATTTGCATTTGTTTTATAAACTATCAACAAAATTTACACTTTTAAATAATGATCTGAACAGAGTAGTTCATTCGAAATCATATGATTATCATCATGTCTTTCAATTATTCTTTACTTTTTAGACAAATATTTGTGAGACGATTAGTTCGTCATCACTCATCTAGCGGATAAATATTTCTAGAAATCTGACTATTTTCTGAAAAATACTTCCGAATTTCAATATTAATGGCAGCTAACATTTTCTTTAAATATTTTTCATCATATTTCTATTTACAAATTTTGCTAACTGAAAGTAAAAGCTCATTTTATATTTTGAACAACCGATGAAACAACAAAAGTCAAGCGAATTTTTCTCAATATAATTCTCGTCACAAATATATCAGATTTACAGCAAAACTTCTCGATTTTTTCCTGTTGATTTAAGATCCCATACAAGATGAATGAATTTTAGTATATATATAAGTAATATTGACTGATTTCGTTACCTTCAAGCAAGAATTTTAAGATTTAATTCATGTTTGATAATTGAATACTTATCAGCATTCTTCTATTTACATACTTAAGAATGATGAATTTTAGTTTTTTTCTCAATAGTAAAATTATAATTTTATTTATAATCAATAATTCAAATATGACTCTTCCAAAACTAATTTGACATCAATCTTCATAAAACAAAACAAGAAGACACTCGTATATTCAATGAATAATAAGTCATTTTTTTTCTTTTTATACATGAGAAATATGATCGCGGTTAGGAAAATGACAAATACTATCTTTTTGTTCATTAAAATCTAAAGATTCTCCAGTTCTTGATAAATCAAATACACTTGTTATTGGTGGTATTCGTTCATTATGTTCATTTAATCGTGACTGTTGTTGTTGTTCGTGTTGTGGTTGTTGTAATGGCCAATAATCAACATTTTGTTGTTTTTCATCAAAATCAATACCTGTTATTGATATTCTTAAATTTCGACGCATAACTTCTCTTACACTTTGATTTAAACGTGTTGAATCAATTTTAGCTTTAAGTAAAAATTCTAAAAATGCAATAACCATTGCTGTACCAAGACCAATAATTAATACATAAAACATTCCAGCAACATTAGCTAAATTAAGTGGTGTACTTTGTTTTGATTCTTTTGTACCAGCATTTGTACATTCACTTGTTTCATAATACCATTTTTGTTTTAAACGTTCAAGAACTCCACTTTCTGTTAATTCTAATACAGCTATATTAATAGCTTCACGTAAATCAGAACCAAGTGGTGTTGCTATTCCATAACCTTTAGCATCAATATTTTCACCAATACGCATTGTATCACATGGTGAACGTTCATTAACATATTCATTTAATGTTGATTCAAGTAAAAATGCAAATTTACCTTTTGAATCACGAACTTTTTGAATACCTTCACGATTTGATGTAACAAAAACATCATCTTTATTTTGTTGCATAAAATTCCACATACGTTTAAATGTTGTTAATGTTGATTTATTAAAAAAAGCCATTGTTGAACCACCTTTTAATGTTCCATATCTTATATCAATTTGTTTAGCAAGATCTTCAACAGTATCAATTGGTGGTACTAAATTTTCAACTGTTAAAAAAGCTGCTAAATTAGCTGTATATGATGAAACAAGTATTAAACTAAAAAACCACCAAGCACTAGTTACCACTCGACCTAAAACAAAGAAAAGAACAATCATTTATAACATATATACACACAAACAAAAAACCAAGACACGCTGTTATGGTAATTTCTAAGAGATTAAAATATAAAACACGATATAGTTGCTATTACTAAATATCAGAATATTGTTATACATTCTTTGATCATATTTCAATAAATAGTATTAAACAAAAATTGATATGGCATGTAAAAATATTTTCATATCAATTGATATATGTTCATGAGATTTGCATTTGAAATGTTAAATTTATATGAATGATTAACAAAAAGAATATTCTACACACCTGAAAATGATCTAGGTAAAAGATCAACACCTTGATGCATAAAAGCTGCAAATGAAAAAAATAATGCATTTTGCATTGAAAATTTATTACGTGGAATAACATCAGTTTCATTTTCAAAATACCATTCATATGATGATGTTCGACTAACAAGAAATAAAATAGCACTAACAACTAAATAAGATATAATAACACATATCCATATTCCTCTTGATAATGGTTCCATAAATGAAAAAACACCTGGTTTTTCTTTATCAGGTTTACTTATCATTATTGATATACCTAAATCAATAAATGGTTTTGAAAAATCAACAACTTTTTCTCGTGCACCATTTATTGTTAATGTTGCTATTGATAAATCAGCATCACGATTAATTAATGCACCAACCATACCATCCCAAATACCTTTTTCAATTTCATTTCCATATTTTGTTTCAATAAGAAATTTATATGGTAATTTTAATTTTTTATGACATACATCATAAGCTAAATCAGCACAAAAACCTTCAACAGCTGATGGTTCAAGTATAGTACCACGTGGAATAGTTTTTTCTGTTAATGTATCATTACGATTTTTTTTTAACATCATAAATGGTTCATCAAATATAGTTACAACTAAACGTGTTCGATTATCATAAGATATACGAAAACGATATGATGAATCATCAGCAACCTTAATATGAAAAATAAAAAAAAGAAAAGTTGTTATTAGTTAACATGTTGAGAAAAGATGAATGATCTTAATATTATTAGAATTACAAAGAAAACAAAATCAAAAGTAAACTAGATTTTAATAATCTAAATGTTATTTTTCTTTTACAAAATTTTCTATAACAACATTTTTGCTTTTCTAGTGTTCTTAGAATTATATTCTGTCAGGAAATGTTGATTTTTTTTATTGATAAATAACATTTCCTCTTTCATTAATTGTAATCTTAATCAAATAATCATAAATTAAAATATATTTTTTCGTATTTCGTTGTTTTTTTTTTTTTATAAAATTCTACATCTAAATAAATCATACCTCAAGTGTAGTTGGTGATCGAAAAAATCCAATATTTTTTGGTAAATTATTTCTTGTAACACGATAAACATCAAATGTATAATTTGTTCTTTGACCTGTTCTATTTGAAAATTGTACATTACCAGTTAAACCATAAAAATTTGTATTTAATAAATTTTCTAAATAAACTTTTCCTGGTGACCATGGTTCAATAAAATTACTTCGACAATCAATACCCGGTGTTAAACCATTATAAAATTTTCCTTGTCGAAATACTTTTAATTTATCACGTGTTTCATTTGATGAACTTAACATACGATTTATTGTACGTAATAATGTTTCCCATGCATCAGCAATTAATAATGATTCAATTGATGGAATATTTTTTATATGAACATTTTTAATTGAATCAATATAATTATTATATAGTAATAATGTTTGATTATCATTAAAATGATCATATGGTGGTATAGCAAAAAATGTTACATTAACACCACCATAACGAAAATAATTCATATCAAGTTGTTTAGCATTTAATGTAAGTAATATATAATGATAATCAGCTGTTGTCATACCACGATGTTTTATTTTATCCATTATTATTTTATATGTATCAAATGAATGAAAATCTAAAACAATATAACGACCTTGAATTTTTTGACTTGTATTTGTTGATGATAATGAATTTATTTGTGAATTAGTCATAAATTCAATATTTTGTAATAAATCATATGAATCATCTGGATTTCCTAAATATCGACCCATAATATTTAAACTTTGTATTGTATTTTTTGTTGTCGTTTCTATTAATTGTTTAAGACGTCGAGCACCATTTGTATCATCATATAAATAAACAAGATACTTTATTTGATAACGACGAATAACTGATATTAATGCTGGTAAAACATCAGGCATTAATGATATATAATAATTTGCTTTTTTATAATGATGATTATCTAAACCAATAAATGGAACTTGATATGTTGAACAAAAACTTGCCAACCAATCAAAATCATTATTATCAACATGACCAATTATTGACATAATACCATTTGACAATTGATTACATAATAATGACCATGTATCAATATTAGAACTATCAAAATCAATTCTATCCATACGTTCAATAACATCATATTGAAAACGTCGTTCAATTTTATTAAAAACATATTTACGAGCTAATGGACTTATTCGAGTATATATATCTCGATTATTTCCATTAAACATTAAACCTAAATAAAGTAATATTTTATTTTCATATTTAATATTATAAATAAATTATTAAAATTTATGAAAAAATTCTTTTTTTAATTTATATATATATATTGATTAATAAAATTTAAAATAATTCAAAGTATTTACTTTTAAATATATTTATGATTTCAAAATTTTCATACAAAAAGAAAAATCAATCTTACCAACAGGTATATTTAAAGTAGTTTGTACAATTGATATATATACAAAAACAATAATTAATAAATAAATGATCGAATCTTTCTTCATATTAGTTGATAAGGAAAAAAAACAAAATAGTAATCAATGTACGTTTACACTTTTATAATAGTTTAGCTGTTAATATATTGACAAGAATAAGAAATATGATTGCTGTATGTTTTCATTCCACTCGATTAGTAATCATCGGATGAGAATAGTTTTTTTTTTTCAATGTCGGCATGACGCGACAAGGGGATTGAATCTTAGTTTCCGTTCTTTTTCGTGAACTAAATGCATCATAATAACCAATAATAATGCAAGAAGAGAGAAATTTTGTTGATACTATTACGAATCTTATTGTTACTATTGCGTTCTACACGCAACATTTTTTCTTTTTCTGTTTAATCCATTATCATTCTACTAGTACTCTCATTTCTTTTATGTGCGTTCATCCACTTTACTGATTGATTATCGAAGAGACAATATTTTGTTTTTTCGTCACGATGAAAAACACAAGAGGATAGAATACAAGTACGAGTCATTTCTTTATTGTATTCTCTTAGCAAAAGAGCAATTTTCTTCTTGACATGCTATGATGTATGAATCAATGACATTGAATCAATATGACACAAGATCAAAATTAAATTTCTTTTCTTTTTTTTTCTTCGTATGAAAAGAAGAAAAAAAGCACAATGAGATTCTTCAATACTCTTTACATAATATATAATCATTTGAACATTATACCAATAGCTATTGTCGATGTATTTTATTAGGATTTATTGATTTTTTTTTTTCTTTTGTTAATATAGTTGTGTAATTGAATACGAGAATATTTTTCAAGTGGTACCATCAAAAATTCTGCTATTTAGACTATGCATCATCTATAGAAAAGATATATTTTATTAGCTCAAGTAGCATATACAGTATTATAAATCGAAGAATTTCGATGTCTTTTAAATCAAATAAAATAAAACAAAAAAAAAAAGAATAGAGAAGAAAAAGGCTATTGAATTTTCACAGATTTTAAATATGAACATGAAGAATTCGATAAGATGAGCATTTTTTTTTTCATGACGAACTTGAAACTTTAATCAATATCATAAGGGAAACACTTCTTTTTTTTTTGCTTTTAAGATTTGTTGAACTTATCTTTGGATAGTTTGTGGTGTCATCTTAGTGAAGCTTTATATCAGAAAGACAAGTGTTCATTCTCATTTGTTCTATTTCAAACTAAAACAAAATGATGAGATTGGTATAAAAATCTCGGAAAAAAAAACGAGCATGTAAATATTATCGATTGGCACGAAAAACATTGATCAACAAATGTAAGTTGTTCTAATAGTTCATTGTTGTTAATTATTGAGATATTCTTATTACTTGTTCATGTTATTATTGAATACATTTAATAAACTTATCCATAATCGATCCTTTCGCTTCCGGCGACGTGTGTCAATACGTCTGAACGCCCATTATTGGACAAAGCTGTCACTATAGCATATTTTGTAATTATTTGAAAAGATTTTTATTGTTTTTACAATGGCTGCAATGTACTTCTATGCATTATTAAATGATTTAACGACTATCATACAAAAATTAACTACTAATATCTTTTTTTGATACAAATTTGTACTGTCTTTCAAAAAATAAATAAAAGTCACATTGAAACTTTTTTTTTTAGAAGAGTTTCAATTTTTACAGAAAAAAAGCCGGTAATCGAAGGGTTAACACAAAAATTTATAATTAAAATAATTAATAATTCTCAAAAGCCTTATTTATAATAGTCAAATATAATAGTAGTTTGAACACTTAACTATATTATATGAAACATATATTGCTTTTAAATAATAAAATTTTATTTTATTTATGATTATCATTACAGTTGATATAGGTTCCTGTACATCACTAATAAAATATTTATGATTTTGCTTTTTCATTAAATTAATTCAACGAAAAATTCTTGTTAGTATTAAAAGATAGAGTCGAGCATCGAACGAGCAAATCGATGAGTCTTATTTGACATTGATCTACTATCTTATTTGAATCATACAAATAAATAGTCCCAAGTCATTGAAACTACGATAAATTTGATGATTAATCCTGATCTATCGAAATGATAATCATGAATCGAAATGCTATAAATCACCGATTTTCTCCAATGACTAATGCGATACACAATTGTTCATAGTTGAATGAAGACACAATTGATAAAGAAATAAAAAATATTAAAAACATTCATTTGTACAAATTCATGCTTTGAATCCAGCTTTTCTCTGAAATCACTCTACACAAAAAAAATAGTAACCAACAAGCAGAACTCAAAAGAATAATGATAGAAGATGTCTTGTTAAAGAATAAAGACAAGTTTTCAACTTTACATCAATCTAGTTAAGAGTGAAAGATGTATCTAAAGCTGAATCGACAATAAAAAAAAGACTAATGAAAAAATTAGTTACTCGAAAAATATATTTGAAATGATCTATACATTCAAAAACATCGTTTGAAATGAATGAAGATGAATGTAAAGTTGAGTTGAAAATTTGTAGAAATAATATTTGTCTTCCAATTTAAGAAACCTTCGAAAATTTCTCTAATTAATACTCAATTCGTAATCAGTTGCTGAAATCAGTTATTAAATACGATTTATTGCTGTGCTTTGAAAAAATCGTTTCATTTACAATAATCTTGATAAAATTTGATTTAATCACTGTTTTTTTTATGAAATACGATTAATCACGATTTTACGCCGATTCTTTGAAAATCGTTAAATTTAATACAAATTTCATACTATAGGTAACTATTTCAGCTTATTTCAGAAGATCCATGACCAATGTAGGTAATCTTCTCAGATACAGTGTTTTGTCAGAATCATAAAACAAGCAATATATTTGTTGTTATACGTAACAAATGTTGATTTCAGGATGAAAACCTTGTGATCAAAGGTAAATATAAATTAATGATAATATGATATCATAGCACGACTAACTCGCTCCTATTTTATTCAAAGAATCAATGAAAGAGTACAACAGAAATAAATACAAGGCCAATGCGGCATTAAAAAAAAAAGAAGAGAGAGAGATAATTAATTTATACATACATATGTATCTGTGTGGCAAATGTCCCTGAACATGGCTTTAAAGAATGGTGACGGATAGAACCCGTCAACATACATTTTCTTTTTTTTTTCTTTTTATAATGACTACGTCATCACGTCGAAGGCCATTGATAGGTTCTCTTCTCTTTCTCTTCTTCATGCATTTATAAATAGTCGCATCTGAATGTTAAATAGAGAATATATTAGGAGCAAAAGAAAAGTGAAAGAAAAGATTTAATTACATTTGTAAAAAATATATCATGTACTCATCATTAATGATCATGGAGAGTCCTCTGATCATCACACCAGAAGGACAAAGTCCTTGGCAGCCATTATCTCTAGTCGTAGCTGTGGGACTTAGCAGTAGTCTAGTGATAGTTGGCATGGCACTGGGTTTAGGCTTGGGTATCGGAATAAATGACAGCAACCAAAATTTAATATTCGTTACAGCCACAAGCTCAATAACAGGGTCTACTTCTAACATCATATCCATCAATAATGGAAATTCGACAATAGCCACAACAACAGCGACAAGAACAGCAATAACAGCAACAACATCAACAACATCATCAACAACAACGACAATAACAACAACAGGTTAGTTGTCTGATCACTATTGGTTTCTTGTGTGTGAGACTCTAAATCAAGTTCTATTTTAATCAGATTTATTCAAGAACATTTCACGATTTATCATATTAATCTGACTGTATAGGATTGCAAGGAAGAATAACAAACCAAATACAAAATTTTTGCTATTCTCGTCTCATAATTTTTAGAGCAAGTATCCGTCAATTTCTACCGATCTTCTTTATTTCTATCGTTTTTTCGTAAAACTATTTTAATCGGCACACGAAGGTCTCAATAGGGTATAGCTAGTCATCAGTTACACGAATATTTGACTGTTTTCTAGCTTATGTCACTTACTTTGCCTTGCTAGTATGCAATCAATCAATTCCAATGCTCCATCTATGCACACAACAATATGGACAATACTTTGCTTGAGTTGTTTTTTAATTAAAGAGAATCATAGTACCTGTGTTTATACAGTTTGTTTTTGATCATAAGACGACAGGATCTTCTGTATTTCGCTACATATTTCGCCAAACATCTAATGAAAAACGATCGAAAACAACCTCATATGAGTATGGGCATTTTGTGAAGTACGATTCCTAGACGAGCTCAAACAACTACAAAGAAAAGGTGTGCCTTCCAGCCCCACTCTCGAACGGTTATAACTAAGGATGATCATTTATTCTTATTTTATGTTTAAGTTTAAAATTACAAAAATCTTGAAAGCACTAGTGACGGATGCTCATTCTTTTATGATAATTGTCTAGCTTAATCGGTGTGAATTCTATTAGATTCATCTTGGACCTAGAGTCCAAGAGAAAACTACTAGGCCTCCTAAGTTGATATTCCATTAATCAATTGATATTCGTTGTAGCTTTTAGTACGGCAGTATCATAGCTTTGTTAAAATCATATCTTGAGCATTGTTAAACATTCATTTTTGCATGAAATGTCATTTGAAAGCTAGATAGTAGAACCAGCTTAAGTAAAAGATTGGTAAGAAATTCACCTGAAATGACACAGCTTTGATCTTCGTATCGAAAGTTTTCACCAAAACGTAAGCAGTAGTTAGCAGTTTGATGCTAATGGCTCAAGTTGGCTCCGATCGATTCTGTCGAAAATTTCATATGAGTGCTAGTATTTTTTAGAGGCATAGCTCATTGAGAGTCAAGAAAGAATCGACAGAGACATTTACTAAGATACAGCTTGGTGATTAATATGAAATCTAAAATTGGAAATTTGAAAATATACTAGGTGCTTTGTTAGATTTTCCATACAGGGCATACAGTGTGAATACTTTTTATAATAGTAAGGATGTGAGTGGTAAGATTTTACGATATGACAAATGAAAATTATTGGAAAACATATCGATTTTGAATATCAACTTCCTCAGGAATCGTGAATAATAGTAGTAATTATTTAATTTTTTCTAAAGAAAAGAATATGAGCTTTCATATCGGATAATTCATCTTTCTTGCTCGGATGACACAAAAATGTGCACTGATCAGTACTGATAAAAGTCTTGCCAATATCTCGTTTTCCTATTGGCTGACACTCACTCATTCAACATTCGCAAATTTTCCTTTAGTCTTGTGTTATTTTCTTGCGGATCAGCTTCATAGATGAATGTCTATACATTGATTGATAATATTCTTTATAATTCGAGTGAAGATGAAAACTTGATTGTAATACCACTCTTGTGTTTTTAATGTATATAAGTTTAACAAAAAGCAAATACTTCAAAAATGAATTGTTGTTTACACTAGTTGAATATACCGATTTCATATCCTTTTAATTGTGCTGTGCATTCATTTAATATTGTACTATTTCAGTGGCAGTCTGTACGAATGTTTTTGGGGCATCGACAACTTTTTCAACGGGATTCTTTCCATACTCTATCACAGCAGGCGATTTTAACAGAGATGCACGATTAGATTTGGCTGTCGCCAATTCCGGTAGTAACAATACCGGCGTGTTTCTTGGTCTAGGTGATGGTACCTTTCAAAGTCAGGTTACTTTTGCAGCTGGCGCAAGACCAGACTCTATAATAACCAATGATTTCAACAATGATATCATACTGGATCTTGTAACGGTAAACTTCAATAGTAGTACCTTCAGTGTCTTACTTGGTAATGGTGATGGGCTATTTCAAACGGCGAAAACTAATAATACAGGTGCAAATCCGACTTCTGTGACATCGGGTGATTTTAATGGTGATAACCTACAAGATCTAGCTATTGCTAATGGTGGTAGTAATACCGTCAGCATTCTCATTGGCAAAGGTGATGGTACCTTTGTGAATCAAGTGACGTATGCGACAAGTTCAAATCCGTACTTCATCATATCTAGTTATTTCAACACTGATTCTATACTCGATCTTGCTGTTGCGAATTACTTAAGTGACAATGTTGGGGTGTACCTTGGTATTGGTGATGGAAATTTTGTCTTTCAGACAACATATTCAACAGGCACAGGACCGACTTGTGTAGAATCGGATGATTTTAACAATGATGGAATACTAGATTTAGTCGTAGTTAACAATTTAGCTGAGAGTGTAAGTATACTACTTGGTTATGGTAACGGAAGCTTTCTGAGTCAGACAAAATTTACGACAGGACTAGGTCCATTAGAAGTCCGAGCGGATGATCTCAACAATGATGCCAATGTAGATCTCGTTATAACTAACTCTGTTAGTAATACTATCAGTATACTTCTTGGAAATGGTAATGGCACGTTCCAGACTCAGAGGACATATAAAGTAGGCACCAGTCCAAGGTCTCTGGTGCTGGGCGATTTCAATAACGATACAAGAGTGGATCTTGTTGTCGCTAATTTTGCTGATAATACTACTACCATTTTTTTGAACTTATGCACGTAATTGATTATTTAACATGTCTTTGCACAAAGTATTAACTGCGAAAGGATATTGCAGTGTAGTTATTTTCAGAAATTATATCGCATATCGGCTTTTATTACAATTTGGTGATTAACTACGAAAGACATTTCGCTTATTTAGTAGGTATGCGACGTCAAGTTCAATTTTATTCGATTATAGCTACTCTTATTTTTAATTCTATATGATATTTTTTATTAACCTTCCTCTTGTTATGTAAAATTAAAAAAAATGAAATTTCTCCTATAAGATAACTTCACTAGAGAGGAATTCCAAGCTTTTATTCTTATAAGAGAATTTCACAAATTCTCTTCAAAGTTATCAAGTTTGACCGAATGTTTGAAAACCTCTGTGTTTTCCGCAATATCAATAAGAAAGCATCGAAGGTTGGAAATGTTGATATCTCAGAAAGACAATATCCGAAAATTCAGAAATTTTGTATTCAAAATAGTTTAAGTGAAGTTTTTACATGAGCACAGTTTCAAGTCAAAACTCAAAAATAAGATTTCATCGAAAAATGAAGTTCTACCAACTTGAAACAGTGAGTTTTTGTTTCAACAGATCTCTAAAGACTAAAAAGAGTTTTACAGATCATTTTTATTTTGTTTCAAGTTGTTTTGGATTGAAATCTATTTGAATTTTATTTTTTTTCGAATAGAAAGCGTTATAAGAGAGAATTCTATATCGTTATATTTTTTTAAATCATGAAATACTAAATTTTTATATGTTACTCAGAATTAATAACATTGAATAGAAATTTTTTACTTGTTTTTTTAAGAATAAAAGGATAGCATCCTTCTCTATCAACAGACAAAAGCTCAATGCATTTGTTTAAAACATGATGGATAGTATTCAAATCTATTTTAATCTGTGAATAAAAGTATCGCCAACAGAATCTCATATAGTTGCACGAACTTCAATAAAACTTCATTGATTCCTAGTTGATTTTTAACATAGGAGAAAACAATGGACTTTGTAACTTTAGTTTTAATTGAAGCTCATTAAAGGTCTAGGCCTTTTCATCGAAGCACGATATTACTGTTGTGTCATCAAATTACTGTAACTTTATAAAATCTAGTGAAATAGAAATTAAAACATTAGAGTTCATTTGTATGTCATGAAACATGATTCAGTTGGACTACACAACGTTCGATACTATTTTATAGGGCTTCGAAACGTAGAAATTTTATGGAGTACAACACAATCCAATGGAGTGTATCATTTCAACTTTGAATTTTTTTCAGACTATGACTATTTTTCATCTTTGCATGGAGTCAATGAATATGTTTACAATCACAATCCTGATTGTTACTTCGACTAACTTTTTGATGATTGAATGTCGGTGTGGGGAGAAGTCATGGAACTTCATACTATGGCCTTCAATTATGTTTCTGTCAAATACTTCTTTCTTGCATTCATTGTTCATTGTGATGCTAAATAAAATTCTCACACTTAGCACCAACTTAAAATGATATGATATTATTCTAATTGAAATTTTATTCAATAAGGAATAAACCATGGATAAATAATGAAGCATAAAATATTGAATGAATTCTCTAAATAAAACTAGTGTTTCAAAATGATCAGATTCGTATATGGACTCATGTTGTGACAGGTATAATATTATTTCGACGTTTTCTCATATAATAGATTTGCACTTGCCGACCGAGTTTGACAAGACGTGGTGACCACCAACGTAATACAACTGTTAATCCACCGTACAAGCCAAGTAATGTAGTTGCTACATAGAATGGATTAGCACGTTCCGTATATGAATAGAAACAATTGGTTGGTGTACATTCAGTGAAATAACGATCGTAGTGTGCTTTCATAGACCAATCTTCGATGAACAGTTCACTAGCAATATTATTAATTGTTGTATTTGGATTGTAGTTTGAATTAAATACATTACTATCATTGAGAGGTAATGCAAGTGTTCGATTTTTCTGAAAAATTATCAATATCATTTAATCTAATGTAAGAAAAATTAAAAACTTACATTTCCAAACATATGATTTCGAATAAGATCAATACAATTACTATCATAAAAACATTCAAATGTTGATGTTAATAATGACTCACTAGGTAAACAACCAATATGAAGACCTTTTATTTCGACATGAGTTGGTGAAGTAAACATTGCTGGATTTAAACATTTTGATCCTTGTGCACATAAACAATTTGTCGTTTCATTATATATCTTTGACTGTATCAACAATGTTGATACAACAGCAGGTGGATTTCTTCGAGTCACAAATTCAAAGTTGCTACCATAGACCGACATCAATCCATTACCATGATTAATGTCACGTGCTAATTGAAATGCACGAACAAATATTGTAGGTGCATTGGTTCGAGCCCGGCTTAACAAGTTTTCTAAACGTGTATAAAATGTTGTTTGAGATAAAAGTTGACCCGTAACCAATGACGTTGACATAAATGAACGAACAGCATCATTCACTTGTACGATTGACTGTTGACATAAACCAGAAACGAATTGCAGATGAGCTGATATAAAAGCACGATAGTCTCCTATTTGCACATAGTAAGACATATTACTGAGATTGGCTGTGAGTTCATTACGCCATTCATCAGTCACAAATACACTTGAACATATCTAAATCACAATAAAAAAAAAAGGAATTGGGCATCAGAAATTAGATGAGTTGAAATCACAAAATAGTTGTCGATATTTTGCATCTGTAGTCTATTTTTAAACAGGACGCTGCACGATACGATAGTATTTGAAATAAGCACAATGTTAATTGAAGAAATTTTGAGAAACATATTTTCCAATATAACATGATTGATACTTTTTCATAGTAATACATTTTTAATCAGATGGACTTAAAATTTCGAATAAAAAGAAATTGTTTTTTTATAATATCAGAAAATGTTAAACAAGCGTTCATTTCAATAGTTACGAAACATGTAAATATATATCTTCTTCTTCTTCTTCTTCTTTACAACCATAGGCTCTTATCCTTGATTCACAATATTGGAAGTAAATAAATCAAAAAGATTGTTTTTCTTTTTTTCGGAGAAACTTGTGTTTCTCTCAAGTCGAAAAAGTTGCACAGCAGTTTATCCATGCTTTTAGTTCTTAGATTTTTGTTACGTTCGGTAAACATTTTTGATTCAAAATTTTTATAAATTTTTTGTATTAGTCACTGTTCTGTATAATAAGAAAAAGAGAAAGCCTATTCAATATTGTGTAGGACAGCACTTAATAACAAAAACAAAAGTAATACAGAACATTTGCATTAGTCGTTATTTTCAATATTTTTTACTACGTAATTTGCAATAGTTGAAATAGGAAGTGATATTTCTTATCATTTTGCTTCTAACTATTCTTTACAACTTGTGATCAAATCTTTGAACTTGTGAATTTTTGTTAACTCATAACATCATTATTATTCAAGATGAGATTTAGTTTTTGGTAGTCTATCGATTTCTCTTAAAAGAATGCCGATTTTTTTCGATACTCGTAAATTTTCGTCGAGTTGATCATATCATCTTCAACTGTACTTATCTTTAATCAAGGACAAACAAAAAAAGTACAAAATTAATTTCTTCTTCAAACAAACAGCAACTCGAATTTTTTATAGACAAATTGAAAATACTATTCAAGTGTTAGTTAACTAGCGTGATGCAATAGAGTAAAGGCATTCTAGTAACATAATATCTAAATTAAAATAATTTTAGGACATGTTACTAAACAGATGCTAGAAATATATTCAAGCAAGAGTATTATTAGAAAGAATCAAACGTTCTAAAAGTTTCAACAATGACAAATCAGAGACTATAACCTAAAGCATAACTCTAACTTTCACTTCTTAATGAATGAAAATACTATCTTTTATAATAGATATTCGAACTTACCTGATGAAAGGTCGGTTGAATGTTGATAAATCGATCAAGTGGTATGGAAATCTTTGCACATGGACATTGAGCTGTGTCACTGTAATCGGTTTGTATTTGTTGGGCTTTAAGCATCGATGGATACAATATGTTTTTTGTAACAACTCTTTGTTGAATTGATGTGTACATGAGCAATATAATTAGAGCCATAACAAGAAGAATAGCATAGAATCTACTTGCAAGTCGATTCAAACTATCAGCCGTAACTCGATCAACATTACTACCAAAAGAGTATAGAGGAAAAAAAGTTAAATTAGTAATCTTTATTCGAACGCAACCAAATAGAGCTCGGACATAGGTACCAAGACGAATAATAAATGATTTGCGTTCTAATTTGTAAGAACAATGTTTATTATGCTATATAATAATAGAAAAGAAAACCCAGGCAGTGGTAAAAATGAAAAAATGGCATTAAAATGCAGTCGAATTGCACAAAAAATAATGGTGTCAAAAAGTCACAAATAATGCCAAAAAATGCATGTTCTGGGATCCATTAAAATGATTTCACCAGTAACATTTTAATCCTTATCACAGAAACCATTTACTTGTCGTTGTTTAACATAATAATTATTATTTTTTACTGCCGTAATAGTTCTTCGTTTTATGTCACAAAAAATCACTTTAATCTAGCCCTGCTGGCGTTTTATGTAATTACTTTTTAGGCACTTCTTTAAGACCAAATCTTGGCTAATAGAGTTCAAATCTGACCTTTTTCACATGAAAAAATAAGAAATTAAAAAAGATTCTGTCACGCCTTACAACTAAACATGTTCTTCTAGACGAAAAAAGATACAAAATTGCTCTTATAAAATGTCATAAAGATTCTAGATTACCAAATCAGCCGCTCTGTTCATCTGACAATCTAGTCTTTATAACATTTGATTAGAACAAATTTTTCGTCTACAAAAGCATATTTAGTAGCACGACATAAGAGAATTCCTTTTTATTTTTCTATGTGAGGAAAAGGCAGAGTCGAACTATATTAACCAAAAATCAGTCGTGAGGATCTGCTGAAAAGGTAAATATACAAAACGTCAGCAAGGCTAGATTAAAATGTTTTTTTGAAGTAAACTGGGAAAAACTCACTTATCGACTCCTTTCTACATGTTCACTCTTACTCATAAACTGAACAGTTATTATGGCATAAAAAATATAATAATGATGTGAAACGATGAAGAAAAATCGTTTATGAAATAGAAGTTATGTTAGCGACGTTTTAATCAGTTCAAAAGGAAATCGCAACTAGCTCAGATGAAAAATAATTTTTTCTTAGTACTGAAATTACTTATATTTCAAAAATTGCACCTTATTTGATGAATAATACGCGACTCAACCATGTTCGAATACAATTAATCGTTTTCTATCCTTCATTATTTCTCTTGCCCTCTTACATATAATATGGATAAAACAGTAATATATAAAAGATAATTCAAGCTCACAAACATTTAGTTTCTCTGAAAAACGAAATCGAAAAACTGAAATTAAAGTTGTCCATGCAAAATATACTCATAATCTATTGATCTTCTCATTTGGCCAGTGTAAGGCAGGATATCTTTCTATCTATAAAAAATTTTAGAACTGGTGCATAAAATGAACACGAAACTTTCCAAAAAAATACTTGGGGTGAGGAGAATTTACTGACAAGTAGAAGACATTCATTATGCTCAACTAGTGAACTATATGATATCAAAGTTTTGTGTGAGAGAAAACTGAATCAGTTGGATTCTAGAAAAATCGAAATATGTAGCAATTTAATTATTTTTCATTTGAGCTAGTCGTATTTTATTTAATCTCGAGTAAGAAAACGATATTAAGTGGAACAATTTTCTTTACATGTAAGAGACAGCAATAGATATATGGATAAGAGAACTCATAAAGAAGTCTCCAAAAATTCAAAAGAATACTGATAAAAAAATGATAGATTAATGCCTGTCTGAATTATAGTTAAGATAAGAGTTCAAGTCAAGTCATTTGAAAATTATAGAAACACTTATACACGAAAATATTATACATTAAGTTTTATGTTAGTGATGTCAAACTTAATAGAAAGTTTATTTAGTTGTTTCAATTATGAAAAGGAGAAATAACATCCTTCTACATTCTCATATATTTGATCAATTCTTTCTCTCAAGACAAAGACTAAAGGCAACCAATGGGTTTGAACGAATTATAAAATATCGAATATAAAGGGTACTGATGACAATGAAAGTGATTTCATAAGAGAAGAGTAACTTGAATCTCTATAATATCTAATAAAATCTTTTATTGGTGCAAATGTAATTCTGTGATATAAAGGTTACTATTTTCTCAGCATGAATTGGTTGCAAAATAAAAATAATGTGCTTTCCACTTCTAAAAGAAAAAGAAAATTATTGAAATAGATGACTATTTATCCTTGACAGGCATATATCTCATTCGATAGTGATTGTTTTAAATGGAATCGTAAAATGAAGAAATTGATAACTAAAAAAACTAAATTGATAGAGATGAAATCTGCCTAGTTCTAAACTAAGTTAAAATTACTTCAACAACTGACACTCGACATCAGTAGAAGAAATTTTATGTGCAAAAATATTTTACAAGGTAGTGTCATATCTGATTTTACAGTTATTATTCAACCATATCAAATTTCAAAAAAAGTTGCGTTTCGATCAATATTCAAAGAAGATCGATCATTATTAAATACTTTTATCTTTTATCAATATCCTAATTTGAAAGAATGTTCTTAAGCTAATATTTGAGAGAAAATAAACATCTAAAATTAGGCATTCGTATTATCATATAATTTCTAAAAATTCAAGAGTTTCTGCATTAGCTTAAAAATTAAACAAATAGAGTCAGTTTGTAATAAATGGTCCTAATATTTGTTTTATATATCAAAAATGCATTTTAATGACTATGTTTTCATTATTCACTAGAAACCATACATAATAATGGTCAAAATGATTGAGTAATGGGAAAATGGTCATTAAAATGACCATTTTTTCATTATTCCCTTGACAGGGAAGTAAGACTCACCGATACTTGTGTCTAAAGGGACTGTCTGTTGTTGTCGTCGCCTGACAAAAAACTGGGCTATGATTGGAGCCAAAAAGCGTAGACAAACTATCAATCCACCAAATATAGCAAGCAAAGTTGTTAATATATATATAAGATTAATACGTTTTGTGTATGTATAACTGCATGTAATCGGTGCACAGGTCTGAAAATAAGTTGTATAAAAAATTGATGACATCCATTGTTCTATGAATATACTGTTTGCTATTGTTGCTACCGTATCATTACTAGAAAATCGAAGTAAATTGGTGCTATTAAAAGATCGAATCGAATTTATGGTAGCACTCTTATTCAAAAAATCGAATATAAAATCTGTGAAACAATTTGTGTCTGAGAATAAACATTGTAATGTCGATTGAAGAATAGAATCAATTGCTGAACATCGCCATACAAAACCTGGTATGATTTTTGTACCATTCTGATATGTTACCATTGGCCATTGACAATCTGGACGAAATGCACATAGGCATGGTTCATCAAGCTGTGACGGTGGTGATGGACCATTGAACTTAAATTTAATCTAAGAGAAAAAGACTTTGTAAATTAATCTTGATAATTATATTGGCATATAAGTAAAACTTTAAAGTGAGTCACTTCTGTAAAATAATAATATCGAGTTTTATTTTAAATAGGAAAGATGTTCTTAGCACTAACGATATGCAGCAGAAGCTATATGAACAAGTCGGTCTGATTGTAGTATTCTTACAAACGATTATGTGTGAGGTAGAAGTTCTCTTTAGTTTCTGGTTCCATTACTCTATTTTCAATTAGAATAAAATAATTGAGTCAATCATCGATTCACAAAATTACGCTCGAATAGGAAGCGTCAGCGAAAGGAATTCAGATTTTAGATTTTTCGATCTATATGATCGTATCTGAAGATAGCATTAATAAAAAAAAAATTAAAGAGAACAATAATAAACAAGACAGAAATAACGAATCATTTTTGTGAACTTATTCGATCGAGATTCATTTTTGTACAAAGTTTTTGAATAAATTTTTCAAATGCCAACTTTAAAGAGTAATATCTAATCAATAGTATATCAGCAAATTACTAGTCTTTTCCAATAGCAGTCTTAAATGTGTACTCATCAAGATGAATGATCAAACTAAAGTATTTAACATCAATAGATAGTCAATTTTGTGTTCTATATTTTCACAACGTTGTCAAATTGCTCGGCATTCTTATCTTTAAACGTGAACAAATTGTTATGTAGTTTCATATGAACAGTTAACACGCTTTGATGGTTTCGAATTATAAAAGAACAGTGCTATAGGTGTATTCGGAAAGAATTTATTTTCACATTTGCTATTCTAAAACATTACTTCAGAAATATTTTTTTTTCTTAGAATTTGAAAAATTACATTGAAAGAAGTCGAATAATGTTTTCTGTGATCTTTGCATATGAGTCGTTTAAATTTCATACGAACGAAACAGACGACTTTGAAAAATAAATTTTCCATCTAATGAATTCACAACAACATTTTGAATCAACTTTCAAGTGTCACAAAAAAAAGTATTCTATTATATCTATCACACTCATTACTATTTTGTTTTGTCAACATTGTGATCTTATTTGATTCTTGTTTCTTGGTTCATGTTCAATTATTATTATTATTATAAATAGGCATCCTTGAAATTTGAAAAGCCCAATATTCAAAGATAAGGGTGTGAGATGTGAATGTAAGTGAACAGAATATTGATACCTACACCCACATTAGAGTAATAAAAAAATCGAAAGATTATCAATAATTGTAAATTGAAAGAGAACTATTTTCAAATTATCTCAAAATTTTAAATCATCTAATAAATAGAATAAAATTAGCATCTTATTTTACCTCAATATGTCCATCATTTGTTAGATTTGATATACGAAGATAACCATTGGTGATTGAACCCGAAAAATATTGATCAACTTGATTTAATAAATTTATAATGTTCAGAGCACGTTCGAATTCAGTTTTTGTATTATAAATAAACTCATTTACTGTGCTATCAAACTCGTCCTGTAATAAAGCATTTGTGAGTAAACGACTGCTAACAAAACTACGATCACCAAATCGACGTAATGCATCATTTACAGTACTATTAGCTAGTTGACATAGTGCAGCTAAAGCTTGAAAATAGCCAAGTGCTGCGATGCGCCAATCATTGATTGGTAATGCTTGAGAGTTAGGATCTTGGTATTGCAATTGAGTGAACCAAAAATCAGTAACAAACACACTTGAACATATTGGATGAAATAAAGGATGAAGAGAGACGAATGATGAGTAGCTTTGTGTAATTTCTGAGCAGAGACAATTGAGAGTATCCGGATATTCACTTTGAAGACGTTCATAAGTGGTATAAGATGGTTGATGATATGTTACACTATTCGTCTGTTTACTTATTGAAGTAAATAGTAAAAGAACCAGTAAAGATCCTATAAAATTGTAGAAAATATTTGAATGTCTTTTAAATAATCAAATGCATAAATAACTATATACATACCAGTTAATAATATAACAAATAAACGTGTTGCAATTCGTTGTCGATGCATAGCTTCGACTGATCGATCCATTGATTTAAATAAGTTAAACTTGATAATGTTTTGCTTCATACTACTAACGAATAGTAACATTTGGTCAATTTTTCGTCCTAAACAGAATTATAATCAATAAGAAAATAGAGAAAATATTTCAATCATGAAAATTTAGATTTCTGAATAAGAGAACAGTGAGTCATTTTTTGTATAAAAAATTCATTTTATCAAACTTATTGCTTTTATTCATTTTAACAAGTATTTTTAACAAAATATGATTGATAAATCATCAGAGTCTCTACGGTATCACAAATGTGTATCCACCGTTACCTTCGTAGACTAAGACATATTCCACAAAAGAGTATTATGCTGCTATTGAAAATTGATTGGTACAAATATGAAGACTAAATGCTTCAAATATATATCAGTTCAACCGAACATATCGATCTGCAATATCTTTCTCTCCCTCTCTCTCTGAACAATTAACTCATATCACTAATCTTATAATTCAAAGCAACTAAAAAATCAACAATTCAGAAATGAATATAGGCAAAAAATAAATGCATAAATTCGATGCACATACTATTTGAAATATGGTCTGATCAATGTGTACTTCTTTATTAACGTGTATTAATGCTATCAAGTAATTTGATAGTCATTCGAAAAAGATAATAATTTATCAAGTGAATTTGATAGTTGTGCTCTTGTTAAAACTCTTTTTTAATAATCGAAGAAAGAATACAGACTCATGGTTTTATTATTGTACAATAAAATTTGAAGCATAACGTGTCAGGGTGTGAAAACGATATTTTAAACACACTTAATCTTTAATAATTGCTACAACTTTAATATTCAGATAGGATAAAAATGTTTTTTTTTCTAACGTAACACTATTATGTTAATGTACATGATTAAAACATTACATTTGATCAAAATCAAAAATAGAACTTTTCACAAAGGCTATTAGAACATTCAGAAAAACTTCTATGCATCGATTATCAATACTTACACTAAACTTTTTCATGATTTAGTACATTATATACTATTTTATGTTTTATTAGAAATAGCTTTTGAATTTTTTGAACAAATGCATTTTCTAGAGGGGACATTTTCCTATAAACTAAAACATTTTCAGTTCTGTGCAACCTTTAATAATTAGAGTACAGAAGTTTTCCTGAATGCTTTATCACTAGTCTTTGACAGCTGCATTCAATCATATCATTACACTCACCACGTAAAGTTAAATTAGGTGTTGTAACTGAAGGATTGCGTCGCTTCCGTTTCATGAAATGTTTCACAACCACTGGAATTATAAAACGTAGAGAAGTCTGAAGACCACCGTAGAGACCAAGTAGAACTGTAATCATGTAGATTAGATCAGCTCGTTTTCTATACGAATAACTGCAAGTTTTCGGAGCACATTGAGCAAAATATTGATCGTATTCAACAGTAGTTTTCCATTCTTCGAGAAAAACTTGCTCTAATAAATCGCTTACGCTTGTATTGAGAGCATATTTACTCGGTAGAGACGCATTTAAAATGTCAATTGTTGAAATTACCTTAAAAGCATAGAAATTTAACATAAGATTTCATATTTTTTCATAAAAACTCAAGACAAAAATAGATTTAGTACAATCCAGAACGTGTTGAGTATAAAATTGAATAGAAATTTTAGTGAAAACAACACTCAAAATTTTCCAATAGAAATCTTTTACATATAAATAGATAAGCTCATGATTTTGATCATCAAAATTTTCTATATTATAATTGTATTTGTTTCAAAATTAAAAAAATGCAATAAAATAAATAAGAGAATATTTTAATTCCAAAAAATATTCAAAGTTACTTCATCAAAGAGTCAAAACAAAAAAAAACAATTCTACGAGCAGATGGTAATCGAAGAAAATGCGCAATTATATGAATGAAACAAAACTGTATTCTATTTCCATTTATTGAAATATATTTTGTTGTTTATGTTAGATCAATCTAATAAAGTGTATGAAAGTTCATTGAATATATTTTTCTCGTTAAACATTTTTAAATAATTATTCAAGCTTTGAAGTGTTTCTACGATATTATCGGTGTTTCTTAACATATGGTTATTATAAAAAGAAGTACAAAACTGCTAACATGCATGTTGAAAATAGAACTTATTCTCATTGTTTACTAATGCTATGAAGATCAATTAAGTTTAGAAAAATAGATCCAATGTCTAACTAAATGTCCATCCTATCCTTGCGTATTTTTTTCATTGAATATTCATTCTTAAAAAAAATAGGTCGACGCTTATGTCAACAATTATAATTAATAATTCTTCTAAAGATACCTATCGTAAGAAAAGTCATATAAGAAAATAATGAAAATATTGACATTCAAAAGAATTTGAAATGCTTTCGATGAAAATATGCGTTTTGATTCTGAAAAAAGGCAATAATTATTGATGAGAACATTTAGTGATAAAGCTCTCGATTAAACTTAAAAGAAATGATATATTTTATTTTATTTTATTTACTTGAGCAAGTTGTGGAAAGTATTTGATTAATTTTGCTATACATGTTGCATTGTAGAGACAGATAAATGTTGTTTGAAGTAACGATTCAAGAGGTGTGCAAGATCCTACAAAGCCTGGTACAATATCCGTAACATTGTACTGTTGCGGTCTAACGAACCAACGAGGATATGGATTTTCATTGTCAGCTAATTGATAGAAACCTGCTGGATAACTGCATGTGTATTGATTACAATCACATCGTATAGTTTGGTTATTGACAGGCAAGTACCAAATTGTATTGCCTACCAACCAAAGCGGTAATTGACCTTCCATATAACTATAGAGTGCAAACACATAATTTGTATTCATAGCTGAAATAAGTTGATTGCCACGTGTTGTTAGTTCGATCAGTTTGAGCGCATTATTTATACGTGATAATGCATCAGATTGAGCTTGTTGACCGCGAACTTTTGCTTGAATTTCAATTTGGGTTTCTAGTAGTACACGAGTGGTGACCAATTGTGTGTTGTTCAAATCGGATAACACGTCAAGAAGTGTGGTATGTACTAGTGTACATAATGTCTTAAGTAGTTCAAACTACATATATGAAAGAAAATATACATATTGCATTGTTATAAAATTTAATATACCTGTGAACTGGCCAGTGTTCGAAAATCGAGCTGACCATAATAACTTGCATCGGGTATATAAAGTGCTGTTATCCATTCTAGACTAATAAAAGAACTAGAACAAATTTGATGCAAAACTATTTCAACGGTCATGAACTCTTTGTAGGGTATTGTTATAGTTGAACAAGGACAAATAAGAGTTTCTGGATATTGAGCTTGTAGTTTTCGAAATTTATCGAGCGAGGGTTCATTCACTGGAACTGTTTTTGTTTGTTGAATTAATAATGTGAATAACACCAAGGTAAGCAAACAACCTGAAATAAAAATAATAAAGTGTAAACATACTCTTTGTTATAATGTAGCTCACAGTTTAGCAGAATAATATAAAGCCTTGTAGAAATTAATTGTTCTTGTAATCTATGCTGACTGTCATTAGAATTTGCATTTTGAGAGTCATTTTTATCATCTTGATCATAATCATTGTCATCAGTTGGGAAAACGTTCCAATTGATTAGACGTTGATAAAATCTATTGAACAGGTTCATTTTACTTTAACTAATCGTTGACTTGTTACCTTTTCTATTCTCTAGATATACAAAAAAATGTAGCATATAACATCATATCATTCATCAAATTGCACAGAGACACAACACAATAAATTATTAAATAATATTTCATAAGTACTCTAATATATATTTCTCAATTTTTGAAAGTAAAGTCATAGATATTCCATCTAACATATGCTGCTAGCTGGTTACTACGTCAATAAACTTCAAAAACAACTTTAATGCAAATGAATTACTTACATTGTGAGATAGCTAAAACTAAAGAGAACGAACATAAAAAAGCTTAAGTAAAAGCGCAAGATAAAAAACTCATATTGCAATGGTACTCTTGTTTGTTAAGTAATGTAGAAATAATGAGTAATATTTTTTCAATTCAAATCTTTCCTTGTAGGTTTTCATCCTTTCTTTTTCAAATTTATAACAAACGATGGATTTTAAAAATCTCTATAAGCATCTCTTAGTAAGTTTGCAGTTGATTTTTCTATTTGAAAGACAAGCAAGATCAGTAAATAAAAAATACTATCTATACTGATGGTACACAAGTACGTTTTTTCTTTATGCATCTTTATAATTACATCAATTTTCAACGTGTGTTGAATTACATAATGCAGTTTAACAATAAAGAATTTGCGTGTAAAGCACCACTTTGGGGAATAACGTGTAAACTAACCATAAAATTCGTCGAAAATCAGAAATTCTTGCTTAATAGAAATATATTTGTATGAAAAAAATCTACTCGTGTGCATAGACCATTGGCTTTAAAAAATCACACACAACAACATCGCTGCCAGTAGTTGTGATTATATGAGGGATAGAACTGAACAGTTCAGATCAGCTATAGCAGAAGCAATATCAGGTGATCGAAGAATGTTGTTTTGTGTCATATCCTAGTCGATCGTTTATGCGTCTTGCCATAGTGAATTACAGATAATTAAAATTTCAATATAAAAACGTTTTCCATTGGGAGAAATCATTAGCGAATGCTCATGACACAGTTTTTTTTCTTTATAGAAAACATGAATTGAATTGATTTACTTTAAATCGTGAAAAAATGACACTACATACTGACAAAGAAAGATGCATATAAGAAGTAATTTTATTTTTGTTTTAGCATCATTTACAAACTCTCTACATACATTCGAATCAGTAAGTATCTGAATATTATTTATTAATAGAGCAATGTTGACAACAGGTATGCTAACTATTTCCACGGTTGTTCATCAATGGTATTGAAAGGCAAAAAATTAACTCCATTTAATACACGCAAGTAACGATGACTTGTAGTAACATTCCATCGAAGATATATCGCAGTTCATTCCAATACAGACTATCCATATGAAAGTATAAGAAAACAAGCTGAGAAAAATCGGTTTGACTTTTTCGTTCATAAGCTTTTGCAAGTATATATCATATTTGGAAAAAAAACATGTTGAGCATGGTTGAACAACTTTTTATAACGGAAATTACTGTCACACAGCTTCTTGTTTAGTTATTGCTGTATCACACGAATTGCATGCAATAGACATAATTGAAAATGT